CCAGACCCCAGCCAAAACACGGGGATGCTCTCAATGCCTGTCTAGCTACCAGTACCAAAAAATCCCCCAACACAGCACTGTGAGAGCTGCTGTGGGGAAAATTAACTCCATCTCAGCCCAACCCAGATATAAGTATATACTTATATATATACTTAATATATACTTGTATAAAGTTATATACTTAAAAATAAACATCCAGTTAATATTGCAGTTCTTATCTGTGCCCACTAATTTTTCCACCCTGAGACTTAACCTTGCTATTGCTTGAGGGTGGTATAGAACAAGGAAAGAAAAAGATAGAGGGCGAGGGGAAAAAACTCAGAAGTTACAATTTATATGATTTTGATGGCTGTATACTTGGCTTGTTTCACAAACATAACCTGTTTTACTCCATCAGGGAAAGTCACACCAACTGCTTGCCTGTTGCTCACAACAATCTTGATTAACCGTAACAAGCATGGTATAATGCAGGGCAAAAATATTAAAGCTGTTAGTCCACACAAAAGATAAAATAAAAGTCTTTTCACTCATGGATTTCCTGATAACCAAGACCACGGTTTACTATTCCAACCATTCCATGTTTGTGTAGGGGTGTGGGCTATTTTCCTAATATCTGCAATCAACTGAAGAACCATCTCACCTATATCACTGATTTCCAAACAACAGTTAGAAATATTTGATTTCCCACATACTCTTCCCTCTTTGGCCAACAAATAATTTAGACCCATATGGTGTTACAGGATGGCAGTGTGCATCTGTTGAGATTGTTGATTCAAAAGATCTATGGCGTTGGCAGTGTGGTTGGTAATAATCTCCAAAACTGCTTCCAACTGAATTACACAGTTTAGCTTACAAATTGGTTCTCTTGAGCTGCTATCAGTTCATTGGGATTCCATGTGACAGGCCTATAATGTTTTATTATTCTCTCCGGAGGCCACTCATTTTCGCCCCACTTTTGTGTCCCGCTATGTCAATCTCAATAGATTGCTCGTTGCGAGCAGCACTCTTGTCACCTAAAGTATCGTATAGTCTTATTCCTAATTGGGAACGACCTGTTTCTGGAAGAAGAAAAAATAGAAGCCGGATGACCCCAACATAAGAAATTCCTGACCAGTTTGCTGGTAGTTGCTCATAGGCAGTATGTCCAAAAATCCAGTAATGTCCTTTCGTGGCTTTAGCACTGTTGTCAAACGGTCCAACTGAAGTTTTTGGGTTCTGGAAATAAGTTGTGTTATCATTTCCTAAAGGGCTAAGAAAGGTGTTGTTTTTACTTCTTTGATTTTTTTTTTCATTTGGCTGGTACAATACTAGGCACTGGTGTTGTTTTTCCACTCACAATTTTGAATATAACTCTGACTGTGGGGCCACTGAGCGACAGGGGTTTTGTTTTTACTTGACCAAAATCCTATTGGTATGATAAGGGAAAAAAACACCACTAATGCTTTTTTTTTTGGAATTTAATTCCTGTTTCAAGATGTTCAAAACAAAATAGGTGTGGGCAAAATAGCATTAGTTACAACACCGTATTGTAATTTAAAGTTCTCTCGCTAAGTTTCTCCTGGGTTCTAGCAGACTTTGCAGTGAGCAAATCACTCGATTTTCCTGAGCATGCCTGTTCTGTCCGCTCCTCCACAGCCACAGCTAGATTAGCTCCTAAAACAGCACAAACAACTGCTTTCCTCTTTCCACCCTTCTTATCTGATTCCTTTTGCAAAGCTGAAATATGATCTACCACACTCTGCAAGTTGTACCAATTTTCTTTCACCTAATGCTGTCCGGGAATCGACAGGCAGGCATGGCAAGTTTCCAGAAACTTGAAAATTATTTCTGGCAAATTATCGTCGTAACTTTTCATGTTAGTAACAAAACCAGAATGAAACAAACAACTGCAACAAAAATGATGACACAAAACGGGCACACACAATAAAAGCAACCATGCAAATGTTATTAATTGAAGGTTTACTACAAAGTCAGGCAATAAACATTCTGGGGAGGTCACACCACAAGAATCACAAATTGCCCTAAGCTTCCCCAAGAGGTCACACTTCAAGCAGTTCAGTAACAGTTTCAGGTGCTATGGACATGTATAGATATGCTAGCACCCATTTAACCAAAGAAGGGCTATTTCATCCATACTTTAAATTCACAATTCTTCCCTGTCACTCTCAGGAGAATACAACTTAAAAGTTACTTCATTTTACCAGAGAGAGGTAGTTTCATCCTGAGAAGGTCACACTTAAAATTCACAATTCCCCCCTATCACTCTCAGGAAGACACAAGTTAAAAGTTTCTTTCACTCAACTCTATTGCTTCGTCCTCACGGACAAACATAACTGCAGATCTGGACTCCACACTTGCTTCGTACAAAGGTACATCTCACACACACACACACACACACACACTAGACTCTCTGATAAAGCAGCTGGGCACTTTCTGTTTTTCTGAGAATCCTGTCCATTAATTAAAAACGCCGCAGGCTGATCTAAGACCAGGACGAGGTTCTGCTGGTGTTCTCGGGAACAGAATTAAGACTCAAAACTCATTCAAGTGCCTAAGAACTTTATTTGCCCAACAACCAGTGCAAAAGAAGGAGAAAGAGAAAGGAAAAAAAAAGTTAGTTGTTATAGCTATCACTACAGACCTGAGGCGTTCTGGAGAAAGAAGCGGGGGTGTCATGTCCATGGAGCAAAGAAGGTGGAAGAGCAGTCCGTAGAGCAAGAAAGGAAGGTGAGAGAGCGAGGAAGGTGGGAGAACAATCTCTAGAGCGAGCAAGGAAGGTGGGAGAGCAAGAAAGGAAAAGAGTCAAGGCAGGAAGAGAGCTGAGGGTGCAGTGCTTTTCTCTGCTTATGTTGTCTTACTACATTGTTACAGCAATGGTGGTGTTAGTAAGTTTTGTTTCAGCGATGCTGAGGCAAATGACTGATACAGTCTCCGACAGATGGGTAACATTAATGAGTATGAATCCAGTAAAGAGTTGTTTTGTAGTTGAAACTGGCCTGATTATTTAGTCTTTTGAACACTGCCTTCCCAGCAGTCTTTAAATCTCTAGTTGATATAGAAACATATATATATATATATTCAGCTGCAACACAACGTGAAATCTCTCTCTGTTGTCTGGAACAGGGCTTGGGAGGGGATCTGTGACAGTTCTGGTGTGATGTTGGGGCTGGCTGCCAGTCCGATACGTGTCCTCCGAGCAGCTCCTCTGTGCTGTGGGAGTAGAAGTGTTGCTGTGGTGTTGCTGTGGTGTTTGAGCAATATGAAGGAGGTTTTGATGTGTGATTTGTTCCCTGGGTTCAGTTTGCTGCATGTCCTTTTGTGTTGGTGAGCAGAGGAGTAAAGAAGTGCATTTTTTTTTCATATGTACTCTAATTTCAAAGCGTTCTTCTTAGCACTTTTAGATGCCCAAGTCTTCGACATAGAATACAGGTAGGAAGGACAAATCAGTTTCAGCTCCATGAAATAATACCTCATTTGACACAGTATACATGTTTTTCTGGAAACACTTGTTCTTTGGTTTGGTTTTGGTTTGATTGTTTGGGGGTTTTTTTGATTGTTTTGTTTTTTAATAAAATAACTGTAGAAAGTTAGTTATTACACAGCTGTCTTGCATAGCAGTGCCAAAAATGAATGCTTGTTGTGTTGACTTTTCTTTTCTCTTGAAAAAAAAAGCTCTGCGCAACTTCAAACCTGAAAATATATGTCAACTGAAAACTCCTGCCTTTCTGTGCAAGAAGTCCGCCCAGATTAAAGAAGTCACAATGAACACATGCCTTGTAGTCACTGTTTTTCTTCTGTTAAAGCTGCATGCCTACAAAATGATTCTAACGTGCTTTTTCATTTCTTATTCCATCTATCCTCCCCACTTCTAGGTCTGCCAATTTTACAACAAAAAGGATGGTATCTGCAGCCAGCAAGACAACTGCAACAAGCTTCATATTTGTCGACACTTTCTGAGAGGGGAATGTAGATTCTTTCCGTGCAAGAGGTCCCATAACCTCTTGGATACCCATGAACTGGGAGTGCTGCAAACTGGAGGTGTTGACTGGAACACAGCTTCAAACATCCAGACTATATGTGATCACAGGCATGTGGAATTCATCAAGGAACTGAAGAAGGTGAAAAGTAAGTTGTAAGAAACGCTGGCTTTAAATTTCAAACAGGATTCTGAGTTTGATAGTAGTAGAAGCCATTCTTGCCTCAGCTCACAGCTAAACCCCATGAGCCTTTCTGTGCTTTCAGTACCGAATTACAAACCAAGAGGAAATTCACGGGATAAACCTGCAGTTACAGAGAGTAAAGAACCGAGGATGCCTTTGCAAATAGGGGACCTCACACTGACTGAGCCATCCTCAGAAGGTAAATATCTAGATACATATCAACTGCTTCCATGTGGGATCAGTTTTCTAATTTCCACTCCTAAAACATGTGTGGGTTTTTTTTTTTCTCCCTTCTGCCATTGATCTGCATTCAGGAACGGTGTAAGTGAAGGCCAGGTTGCATGGGAGGGAGAGCTGCATTACTATTGCCCACAATACTGCGTGCAAAGCTGCTGTTGAGTGGCAGCCCATAACTGTGACCAGCTGGGGTTTGTAACTGTTACTACTGATGTGTTGTGTATCAGCAGCAGAGCTCTGGTAGAAAATTATATGTGTGATGGGCGTTCAGCCTCAACACACAAGTTGAGATGTTGCCAGCTAGCTGAGGTTCTGGTCCAGCAGCGGCGTTAATTCAGTCTTCTCACGCAGATCCTGGTAGCAATGTATCTGGTCAGAGTCAACACCAGTTGCCAGCAGGAGCTGGAGGGAAAGACAAAGGTAAGGATTATTTCTAAGCCTCCAGTCTTGAGATTAGTGGTTCTCTCTGGGATTTGGTTTCATGCAGCCCTACAGCTCCCTGTGGTAGTCAGAACGCAGCTTATGTGCTTACCCTAACATATGCTATAAAGAATGTCTTTATTGAAATGGAGTATAAAGAATTTCTTTTCTGGAAGGGTTATTGGGCATTGTGATGGGTTGCCCAGGGCAGTGATGAAATCCTGGGCCCTGGAAGCATTTAAGAGAAGCATTTAGACGCAGTGCTTAGGGATACAGTTTTGTGAGGGACTTCTCAGTGTTAGGTTAATGATTAGATTCAATGATCTTAAAGGTCTTTTTCAGTCTGGGCAATTCTGTGATTCTATGCTGAAAGCCATAGTGCCAGACAGCCTCTGGAGGACTGCTGAGATTTCAGCCCAAGCATTGTGCAGCGACAGGGAGCAGTCTGGGATTGGTCTCTACTGTTCTGCATACATGGCTTCCTTCCTGGGAAGGAGACAGAGTTTTTTCTCTGTGTGTGATATCTTTGCTTGTCTTCTGTCCCCAGGGAATGAATATAGCTTTGGCAGTAGACCAGCTGTCTTGATACACCTTCCAAAAAAGAAGGGTAAGTGGAAGGAGAAAGACAAAAACAAAGCAGAACAAGTGATGCAAAGGCAATCAGTCACCACCTTTTGTGGATCAGCTGATGCCCAGCTGATTTCCAAGCAAACGAGAGCCAGCTCTCCCTAAAACTCCCTCTTTTTTCATTTTACTGCTGAGCATAGCGTTATATGGTATGGAATATTTATTTGGCTAGTTTGAGTCCTCTGTGTTGGGCCGAGCTCTGTACTCACTCCACCCATGCTGGTCTGGCTAACTTGAGGAGAAACATTTTTATCAGCAGTTGATCCACTCAGCTGATGTAATGATTTAGCTACAACAAAAGCCACCCTCTGGTCCCCTTTGTGTTGAGACAAAAAGTCAGCTTCTTTGCTTCATGACATTGCCTTTGCCCCTCTCCACTGAGCCTTCTTCCATTGCAGGGGTTTATTGGTCAGTCACAAAGCTCTAACTGATTCAGTGGGCTGTACGGGGGATAGTCAGATCCTAAAAGTTCTTGACTTAACAAGGACTTGACTGCAGTAGCTATTTCTAGGATGAAATACCAAACACAGTGTGTTTTCTCTTAGATGTATTTTGGTGGTGCAAATAAGGACTGATGTGTTCTTTCCTGCAGATGAAAAAGACGATTTCCCTGCCAAGGCTTCAAAGGATAACAAAAAAGATAAGTGTGATGAGATATGCGTGTTCTACATCTGGAAGTACTGCAAGCAAGGAGGTGAGCTTTATAAAAAGTAGTTCTTTCCAGAGAGCAGTGTCTGCAGATGCACTCTTGCTCAATGGCTTGGACTAGTGGTGGCATACAGAGTGGCAGGGGCCATGGTGTCCTCACTCACTTGCTTTGTTTCTAAGTCACTACTAAAAACTGTCAGAATTACAAACATAGTCAGAGGGCAGTCAAGTCGATACATTTAAACCCTTTCTCCTCTAGATGATCCATCCATCTATGTCTTATTTTGGTCCTGTTGATGGGGGCATGGGGGTATATTTCTGTGGCAGAACACCTTCAAGTGTTAAATGTTACACTTTCTGTAGCTGTGAGATCAATTTAAGAGCTGGAATTATGCTGTCAACGTTGACAACTGGTAACAGTACATCATCCTTTATTCCTGCTATATCCTACGTACATCAGTAATAGCCATATTGTCCCTCTGAAGTCCTTTAAAAAGTGATCTGAGGTGTTAAAACATGTTAAGAAAACACCGTGGTTGTCCCGGCTAAGCTAAAGATTAATCTAGTCCATTGTCTGTCTGGCAGCATCCATAACAAAAGTCTAGAGGAAGAACATAAGTATAAACACTGGTATTCGGGGGGCTATCCCTGAACAGTTTCTTAACACTCAGGTTACGCTTTTCCGTGGTTATGAAAAAGTGAACATGAGATTTTTCTTTCAGTGACCATGTCCAGTCACTTTCTGAAGGACTACTCCTTTTCTGACCACCTGATCTTGATAAAAAATCCACTTAAATTAGATTAGGCTGTGTTTGCTTTAGCTTAGCATGTGCACAGTAAGTTGCCTGACAACTGTTTGATCTAAGATGATTTTGTGCATTTAGTGTTTCTGTAGTGGGTTTGTGTTCCAGCAAGGATGCAGTTCTCCTTTTCTGAGAGGCAGATGAATACGTTACTTTAGAGCTTGACAATATGTTTGCTCTTAACCATTACTTTGAAGAGAGATAGAACTTAAAAACCCCCATAATCTCTTTTATGGGTTGTTCATGGATCATAGAAATGAAATCACTGTTGTCTTCATAACTGGGGTTAGTTTCCATATATTCTGTAGTTAGATACATCGGGGTCGAGGAATGGCGAAACTCCTTTTGGCTCTGCCCATGCAACAGCTACTCGAGCCTTATATCACATTTCTCAGACTTTTTGCTCCTTTAGGACCAGGCTTGAGTCTTAGATTTACGAACTTTTGGACCTGTATAATGTGAGCGGTGTACCACAGGTACTAGTTGCAGAGGTCAGGCTCAAAGCAGCTGTACTGTGACTGCTAAATAGCTACACTCAACAGTTGGCAAGTTAGTGTGCTTTGCCATGCCGTGTTTGGCTCAAAAGTTGTAAATAAGAGGTTTGGCCCATGCTTGGATGTGGAGTGCATGTCAGCTTCCCCAGGCAGGGCAGCCTGGAGGTCAGCCTCTGCCTGTATCCAGCAGCCTGCACACGTGCAGGGGTGTTAAGCAGGTCTGAACTCAGACCTGCAGACATATGTGCATTGAAAAACAAAGATAATTTAAAAAAAACCAAACCAAAGTTACTGTTGCAGGTCTTGAATGCAAGGCAGTTAAAAGTTGCTGCTTCCCATTTTTTTAGAACCAAAGCCTAGCAGTCTGGTTCGTAGGGCAATGTGCTGCCTGTTCAGGGGTGAATGGAGGGTCCCTCTTGGAGGATGTTCTGTGGAGTATCGTGGTCCTTTGTGCTGCCTCTTTCATTAGACTGGGCCTAAAAAACATTCAGACCTTGCTAACCATTCCGTAAGTTCTAAGAGAAAGAGAGAACCAAATGTATGTGAGTGCTTTTGTGATATGTAGACTGGGGTTTTTACAGGTGAGAAACATGGCGATGTGTCACATAGACACACGCTTCCTATCTGTGGCACTGCTCTGCCAGCTGCTGATCATAGAATCATTGAATGGCTTGAGTTGGAAGGGACCTTAAAGACCACCTCGTTCCAACCCCCCTGCCATGGGCAGGGACACCTCCCACTAGACCAGGTTGCTCAAAGTCTCATCCAGCCTGGCCTGGAACACTTCCAGGCGTGAGCTATCCACAGCCTTTCTGGGCAACCCTCTCCAGTGTCTCACAATCCTCACAGTAAAGAATTTATCCCCAATATCTAATCTAAATCTACCCTGTTTCAGGTTGAAACTGTTAACCCTTGTCCTATCACTACAACCCCTGATAAAGAGTCCCTCCCCAGCTTTCCTGCAGCCCCTTTTCAGGTACTGGAAGGCTGCTATAGGGTCTCTTCAGAGCTTTCTCTTCTCCGGGTTGAACAGACCCAACTCTCTCAGTTTGTCCTTGTAGGAGAGGTGCTCCAACCCCCTGATCATCCTTGTGGCCTCCTCTGTACCCTCTCCAACTGGTCCATGTCCCCAGTTCCCCAATGTCATGTCTCAGCAAAGGGAAGGTTGTGGTTTCTTTGAAATATATTTGGTAGTATGAGAGCTTACGCTGCTTTTCTTAAGACTGGATAAATACACACCCTGATTGTTAAAACACAGTTGTATTTTCAGCACTCTGTCTTTATTGCTCATACCAAAGGCCCAGGACATAAAGCCCCAGTATAAAAACATTTGTTCCTTTTTTTTTTTTTTTTAACCTTGTCTCGGTCTTTGTGTTATGATTGCAGAGCTCTTGACTATGTCTGATCTCGTTACAGATGCATGCACATCTGTTCATTACCATTTGCCATATCGGTGGCAGGTGTATAATGGATTCACCTGGAATGACCTTTCCACGATGGAGGAAGTTGAAAAGGCATATTGTGACCCAAAAAACAGCGGGTATGGTAATGCTGGACTACTTGCTTAGTGTACTGTGATTGAGCCTCTGAGGAAAAACTCTTGTTTTCTTCCTAAAGATATCTGACTTCTATAACTTCTGATTGAGTTTCTCAGAACCTGAGAGGATGTATAAATGAGATTATTTTTTACTTTTTAAGAAGAAAAGTAAAAGTGATTGCATGGAAATATCACCCCATTTTTGTCTTCTGAAAATAACACAACGGTATATAGCATTTAAAACCTTATGCAGTGTCAAAAGAAATGGATGGAATTTAGGACTTAGAATGTTAGTATTTCACATAATGAATCATAATTTATTCATAATAATTAAATTGGCCCTTTAACAACAGTTCAGATCTCGTCCTTCTCTATGGCTATTCCTTTCCTAGTATAGTTGGTCACAGTCACAGAGTGTTAAGGGTTGGAAGGGACCTCAAAAGATCATCTAGTTCAGCCCCCCTGCCAGAGCAGGATCACCTACAGTAGGTCACAAAGGAACGTGTCCAGGTTGTTCACTGATAAATAATAATAAATAAATTAAATAAATAATTATAAGTAATAATATAAGAATGATAATGGTAATGGTAATGATAATAATACACCTAGAGAAATTTTTTGAAGTTCACTTTGTGTAGGCGGCCCTTTTTTTTTTTTAATAGTGTCTTTTCCCTTCAGTTCCTTTCTAAAAGCCTCACTGTAAGCCACCTAGATTCATAGGGGACCTGAAGTGTGGCCTCAATAAAATGGTGTAGTCGTTTTGACCTGTGCCTCTTCAGACTGCAGGTGCTTTTGATTTGGATGATGCAAATCACAAGCAAGATTTCCAAGAGAGGAGGCTGCTTTCAAAGTCTTTCTGCCTGCGAGTTAATTCTTCAAGCTTCCCAGGAGTGGAGAAAGCTATTTACAGAATGCACAACTGTAATTGCATCCTCTGTAACAACGGAAAAAAGAACAAAGTTGATAAAGCTGCAGGTGCTTGCAGACAAACTCAGTCATGTACTTATCAGCTTCTATTTTGTACAGAGAAAAACTGTAACCATGCTTATTTATTGCAGAAGTACATTTTGCCACATTGCATGTGTAACCCTGGTCTGTCTGTAAAGTTGGCAGTGCAACATCTGGCTAAAGATTGAGGTAGCATGCAGTGTCTCGCAGGCCATAGGCCACTTGTGAAGATTGGAAGGAGTTCTCGAAGTTGTCATCCATACTGTGGGAAATCCTCTTATTTTAGGCCTAATTAGGTTCAGGCAGTCACATTATATTAAAGAAAATTGCACCAACTGATACTGTAGTTTAGAGGATAAAATGTGTACTGTCAACTATAATAAAGCTGAATTTGTCCTTACAGCATGGCAGATAAGAACATCGACTTCCAGACAATGACTTGCCGTTCTTCTCCGCTTCGACGTCTCTCTACACCATCATCGGTCACAAAACCCACGTTTGTATTGACCACGCAGTGGATTTGGTATTGGAAGAATGACCAAGGCCGGTGGATTGAATATGGGCAACAGGTGAGTCTACATCCCGAGCTTTGAATCACTTCTGAAGAAATGTGTGGACCGTCTCCTCCCCATGTCCCTTTACTCCACAAGGTTAAACGAAGTATTTGTGCTTCAACTTTACAGTCTCAAGTAAGTCAGTGAAGCTACAGATATTTATAACAGACATGATAAACAATAACAGACTAGAGGGGAGGGAACTGCCTTATCTCCTTGCAGTAAAAACAAGCATCTGTCTCTGTGTCTGGGTGATTTTTTGTAACTACTTTCCTGACAGCGACCTTGTTGGCAAATGCAGGAAAGCAAAATTCCCTTTTGTTTTCAGCTTGTGTTGATCAGGCTGCTTTTGGTGATGCATGCTGGCTTTTCTAGTCAGATTCCCTTCTGGAGTTGTCCATGGCTTCCATGCATATCTAACGTGTATATACTGTTTTTGAGATATATTGCCTTTTAAATTATTTGGAAAGTAGCCTTGCTTCTCTTCTAAGCATTGTCCTGCTTCCTTGGATGTGCAAGGATTGCTCTGCTCTCTCATATTCGATGTTACCTTTTAGTTTGAGTGACCAAATCCTCTTTGAGAGGGTAATCTGTCTGAAAAATGAAGGAAAAGAAATAAATAAGGAATCTCTCCTTCCTCCAAGGCAAGTGAGTTTCCCCATCTGGTTTACAGCAGGATAAAAGGTGATCCAGGGATGTGCGAAAGTATGCAGGGAAAGGTGAAGGATGGTGGCAATGGTGGGCCTTGATTTCAGTAGGCAGATTAAACGGAAAGCGTCTCCAGCAGCATACCCCCTCATATTTTACACTGTTTTGTGCATCAGAAGATTATACTTGCATCGTGGCTTAAACCTGGTGTCAGTGAGCCGACTATGCCAGTTTGTTTTGAGGGAGATTTTTGACTGTTTAAAGAGCCCCTGCCAAAAGTAGCAGCAAATACAGTTTTATTGAAGTAGGTTGTTGTCTTACAACTTAGCAAAGTCTGATGGCAAGGTTCACTCTATAACTTGTTGCACAAGGGATATAATAATAATTCAAACTTACCCATACAAAATCTTAGTATACTATAGTACGAAGTTATGCATGATATCAGTCACTTGCTGAAGATCTGCAGTTGTTAAGGGGTCTCTCAGCCTCAAAGGGTACCCTTTAGGGGTGTCCCAGCTCAAAGGGAGATCACCACTCTGGATCCTGCTGCACAGCAGGGAGAGCTCAAAAAAAGCCCACTCAGGCTGTCAGATTTATGGAATAAAGTGGTTGGCTCATAGTCAAATTATCTGAGATCGGAAAAGAAACATGAGATTCCTTGTACCCATAGCTTTCTTTGTTTCTTGACAAATCAGTCTTGGAAGAACTCCTGGCTATTGATGTGTTAATTGCATGATTAGTGTTCCAGTTTCCAAGCCTATATGCATCAATGCTCTCCGTGTCATGCTGTTCCTGTGTGGGTTTTCAGAGAACAGGTTGGAACTAGAGAAGTTCATGGCCTGACCGTGGCCTAGGCCTTTACTTTCTTTGGTGCCTGAACCAAACTAATGCTAGTCTGGTCATGGACTCGAATCCATGACCCATACACCCAGCCAGCAACTAAGCACCACATAGCTCCTTGCTCAGTCCCTGCTCTGGTGGGATAAGGGGGAGAATCAGAAGGGTAAAAGTGAGAAAACTTGTGTATTGAGATAAAGACAGTTTAGCAGGTAAAAGAAAAGCCATGCTTGCAAGCAAAGCAAAACAAAACAAGGAATTCATTCACTAATGCCCACGGACAGGAAGGCGTTCAGCCATCTCCAGGAAAGCAGGGCTCTGTCACACGTAGCGGTGACTTGGCAAGACAAACACCATCACTGCAAACCACCCCCCTTTCTCCTTCTTCCCCCAGCTTTATATGCTGAGCATGACGTCATATGGTGCGGGACACCCCTCTGGTCATTTGGGGTCACCTGTCCCAGCTGTGTCCCCTCCCATTTCTTGTGCATCCCCAGCCCGCTCACTGGTGTGATGGGGTGAGGAGCAGAAAAGCCCTTGGCGCTGTGTAAGCCCTGCTCAGCAATAACGGAAACATTCCTCTGTTGTGTGTGTTCAGCACAAATCGAAAACACAGCCCCACACTGACTACTGTGAAGAAATTTAACTCTATTCCAGCCAAATCCAGTCAACTTGTTACAGAAATTTAAATGGGATGCATGTGTGCCTGTCATTATGTATTTGTGTGTATGTTATGAGTTTTTGGTAATCATGCTTCAGGCCATGATAGTTCTGGGTAGATGCCTCTTCATCCTACTCTTTGCCCTTTCTTTCCCTCTACCCAAACTAGTTATCCAGGGTTTAGTCCTGACTGTGTTTACTCATTACTTTCCTTCCTCTTTTTTTTTTATTTCTCCTCCTCTCCCTGCTCAAAGGGAGAAGGGGGTACTGTGAACGCACCATCCTCTGATGCTATTGAGAATTTGTACCTAGCGGATCGAGATGCCACCATGAATTTCCAGGCTGGCCTGAATCATTACGAGCTCAATTTTAAAGGTATTTATTTTAAGGGTTCTCCTGTACAACTATGCAGTGCTTTACAAAGACTAACTTGCAGGATATCCCAGCTTTTAGAAGCTGTGACTTCATGTACTAACACTACCAGATTTACTCATTGGAAGGGAAAGTTGAGGTAGTGATGGCACAGAGGAAATTCCTTACAGAAGTAACCTTTCCTGTTATTCCTTGATACTATCCAGACTCACATTGGACCATAAATAAAAAGATTCATAGTCTTCACATAAATTCATAGTAAACCGTAAGTAAAGTGAGCTAACTCTGTGGATGGTAAAAATGAAAAATTAAGCATCTTTCTGTGCTGCTGGAGCAACATTTAAAGAGCATGAATGACATAAGGGAGCAAGCAAGGTATGCATGGGACAAATAACAGTAACAGAGTTACAGAAAGGACAAGAAGCTTGTATGGGCTTTGTGCAACTATTCTTCAGATAGAATTGGCAATGAATATGCACTTTTCATTAGTGAATGGCTTTTGTTAATTAATGGTTCCATCTTTCAGACTTACTAGTGACTTTTTCTCTTTCCTTCTCTTTTCTCCTCAAGAAATGATCCAGACAAACATCTATTACAGAACTCGAAGAGGGGTCTGCAGGCGACCAAAGTTTGTGTCTTCAGAAGATGTGCAGAAGATAAAGAGAGGGTAAATAATGCTCTTTAAGTTGTTTTTTTTTCATGTTTCAGAAGTAATTATAAGGCAAAATTACTGCCAGTAACTGTGCAAAGAATGCAGCTGTTGCTGGAAAAAACCATATCCATTTGACTGAACATGTATCATAAACTGCCAGCTTGGTGCATCACCTGGTTTCTTGAGTACATGTTGTTCCAGGTACCATATCCACAGGACCGATTGTTTCTAAAAAAAATACAAGTGAAAGAGGACTGTGATAACTGAATGGCAGCATGCAAAGCCCAGCTCACAGACCAAGGCCATTTCTTGGTTTCTTTGTGGTTTACTTTTAATGTGGGGTTGGCCAAAGAGGATGCTACCCATTTGAATGTTCAGAGTGGTACTAGAATTACTAACACCTTGTTTCTGTCTGTTTGTAAATAGCCCGAGGGATTCTTCTATTCCAAATCAATCCTGTCCTGCCCACTGGGATCAATCTGCACTGCCTGACATAGGATACAAGGTATGAGATGTTGGGGTTTTTTTCCTTTTTTTCCCCACTCTTGTAATTCTGATGTAAAGTCATGATTCACAAGAGGATGCTGCTTAACTGAAGTAATTGTAACTGGGTAGATGCTAAAAAGGGATTGGGGTGATTTCTTGAGTGGGTGCGCTAAAGATCTAGGTCATCTCCCAAAAACTCCTGAAAAGGTGCCAAATTCCTATTAACTTCACCTGCATTTCTGATGTCTTATCTACATGCCAGTCCAAAACTTGCCAAATGCAAGACAAAAAGATTCACTGTTAAAAAATAAAAAATGGTTTACTTTGGTGACTTAGTGGACCCATTAAGTTCTATGAAGCGTGCATTTCTTCACGAGAAGCTGGGCTGAGACCAAATGCTTTCTGTGTAGGTCCAGGCAGTGGTAAAGTGGAAAGTATTACCAAGTGATGTCATTCTGCCAGTGTTATGCATTTTCAGTCAAGTTTATGGAAGATAGATGTTTATTCTAAAAGATTAAAGACACATTACTTCGGAGACAAAATGCAAAATTCCTGCATGACACAAACAAGCAGAAGAGCTCAAACAATGTTTTAATTATGTTTTACATTAACTTTGCTTCGGGAATAATATGCATTTCTTGATGAATTTTTAAACACGAGAAGTATTGAAAAAGAGACTTTGTTTCTTTTAGGAAAAGAGGATATTGTGACGGAGAGAGACTTCACTGCAAGGTTCAAACTAGTGATCTCTTTGAACTTCACTCACAGGTCCAATACATAGACTTCACTGCAAGGTTCAAACTGCAAGCTTCCAGGGCAAAATGTTTGTTATCTGGCTTTTGGTTCCATTCAGGCTTCAGTCCTTTGTCTGCTGTTTCATTTTGGATAACTCAGGCTGCATAATTTTTCACAACTCCCCTTGGGTCATCACAGTTAAGGGTCTCTCAAGGCAAGACAGAGCTGAGCTGAATTAACACCTCCCTACATCTCACCTTTGTTCATCGATACCTACTCTGCGGGTATCCACACGTTCCACCCCGTGACCTGAGTCATAAGTCAACCACTGATATTTTTCCTTCATCTGCCAATATCTCTTCTGCCAATATATCTGTATAAGTTTCATCCGTGTGTTTTAGTAAAGCCAAATACTCTGTGGTGTCTAATTGAACCCTTACCTGAGAAATGATTGTACAACGATTCCTTTTAAACAACTAATGGCAATACCTACTATGATAATACAAATAATGATGACAAACAATGTTTGCAAGAAGTTAGTAATCATCCAGTAAATACCCATCTGAATTTACCAAAAATGTTTCCAAATCAAGTGTCTTTTATTTGATCCTGCAGGTCATGTGTGACTTCAGCTATCTTCTTCATCTTCTGTAGGTTTTCTCGAAGAAGTAATGACACGTTAGGTATTGTAATGCAAGATTTCTCTTGTTCGTGTTTAATTCCAAGTATCTACACGCTCCTTGTTCTTTGAGCGATAGCATATCCAGCATGAGTCAGTTTTGAAGTGCGACTTTTGTGACTGTGTGCATTTGGGTATTGAGCAGTTCAAAATTTTCATTAGTAAGGGCTGCTAGAGCTTCCGCTTGTGAGGTTAAATTGGTCAGCATAATTCTAGTTCTCAGGTGACCTATTCCTAGTTCAAAGAATACTTTGCCCCAAACTGCTCGCTTCTTGAATACAGTCCAACTGGTAGCATCCGTGCTTTGTTTGGTACGGGGATGCCACAATTCTTGAGAAATAAATTTTTCAGAGTAAAAAGGGAGTAAGGGCATAACGATGGCACTCCCAAAGCACGCCGCAGGTCAGGATGGGCGGGATTTAATATATCTGTAATAGGCCCATCTGAGCATATCCAAGTTAACTGATGTGTAGCATGTATAGGTGAGTCATCACAGTTGCCCTTAGTTTGAGGGTTCTGACAGGAGGACTTCTTAGAATGTTCCAAGTCTTTATAGCTTGTGCTGGTATTGCACCCTGTTGCTGGAGGGTATGGCTTAGTGTAATTTTGACACAAGCAGGCAGCACTAATTAAATGCTGTAATGAAGGGATTAACCACAACCAACTGTTTTCTAGACTCCCACCAGTGGTGCAATTTATGATATTTCTGCAATTCCACAGGGGGCTTTTTACATGGGGTTGTGTTGAGGCCCTTTGTCGAGACCTCCAGGGGTAGCATTCCTTCCTGTCATCTCTTCCCTCCTCATGGCTGTAAGACCATAAGCAATCAGCAGGGAGCCCCTGCATTACATTGAACCATTTACATGAATTACTGTGTGTTGTAGGAAACTCAAAACACCACTGTGCACTTACTGGTTCCATGTAACTTGGGATTAATCTTTGTCCCCAGTAAGGCTTGTCCCCATACCATGTATCCTCCCAAGGGTGTTTGGAACATCATTGTTGAAAGCATTGGCGTTGTTTGCCTCTACATCGCAAATTTTTATTATCCTAATAAAGGGGAGCATAGGAAGTTTAGGCTCCAAACAGAAGTTCTATTTAATGTATTGTTAAATGGCCACCTCCATTCAGATTCCCCACAAATGATAGACTTGTTTTGATTCCAGAGCCAATCTAAATTCTTACCCATATCCGCAGGATTTCTTACACATATCCACCCCTGGGTGGGGGTGTGTGGGAGAGGCAAACAGGTAGTCACATGAGAAAAATATAAGCATACGAGCAAAACCTTGTATCATCTTATAGATCACATTGTCTGGTTCAGTGTGATTTATAATCTGGGAAACATCAACATGTTGTTCAAAAGCCTGAGGCTGTCTATTCCATATCCTACATTGTCTGCTTATACCTATGAATATTATAGAGCTAACGACTATTATTATAAAAAGGCCTTACAGTCACAGCCATGTCGCAGAAGCTTATATTTACAATTATCCTTATCAGAACACATATACAGCAACAATAAGTTGAAAAACCAGAACTCTTGGCCCACGTTCAAGTCCTACACAGCTTGTCCATTCTGTCCAGGTACAGTGTGTAGTTTGGGTTGATGCTTCCAAGGTCTCCACTCCGTCGTACTCCTTGTCCCTCCTTTTTCTGGGGCACACCTGTAAGTAAATGGGAAAGAGCTGCTCGACCATATATATGATTGACAGTGAGTTAGTTAGAAATCTGGTATGATCCAGCTTCTATTTATTCAATGTATGCAGTCAGAGTTATCTTTTGCTTCCCATGCATACAATTCCCTTGGATTTGTCAATACCAGAGGTGCAGCCCCCGTTTGAGGTAATTTGACCATTACTGGTTGACCAGAATGGAATTGTACAAGGAATTTTTCAGGTTTATGTGGTTCCTCAGAGAATAAATCTCTGGTAGGACAAAATGTTTTTATCTTTGCATTTCCATTTTCACCCTATCTGTTGTTAACAGTATATACTGCTTCAGATAGTCTCTGATTGCAATTTGATGCATGGACTTTTGCGAATCTTTTAATTAATGCACTAACCCGTTCTACAATTCCATTGGCCTGAGGGTAATAAGGGGTATGGAAGACTCAGTCAATACTTTCCCCCTTCACCCATTCCTGGATGGTGGCTGCTGTGAAACATGAACCATTATCACTTTGGATAGCAGAAGGCAGAGGTAAAGTATGAAACCATTCCTTTAGCAGCTGAATGGTCCATTCTCCAGACACTGTAGTGGTAGCAGTAGCTTGGGTCAATCCGGACACCACCTCTGCACCTACTGAGATGTTTCTATACCGATTAGACATTTTAAGTGGCCCAATATAATCAATTTGCCATGTTTGCCAGAGTGTTTTCCCTGCCCTAATACATAAAGGCAGGGCTTGATTGGGAAGAGTCATTTTAATCGTAGGCAGCGCTGTGGGCAGTGTGTTACTATCTTTTTGCAGTCAGTGCAGTCACTTGGTCCTTCCCATGTGAATACAAGCTGAGGCTTATCTTCCTCATGAAGAGGAATCATGAAAAACTTACCTTTAACATCTAAAGTGACCATCCATGAGCGGACAGCTGCCTGCATTGCTGTTACTATTGAAGTTATACTTGGAACAGCAGTTGTCAGTGGCAGGATGTTGCTATTCAGTTTTCTGTAATCAGATGGTAGACATCACTGGCCAGACAAGAGAATTTTAAGGGGGATGGGTGCAGCTTGTTATCTGTCTCTTCTCCAGGTCATCAGTTACTTCTGTAGTGCCCAGCTCAGCGGGGCCCAGCTGGGCATTACTGACCAGTCAGCCTCACCTCTGTGCCTGGGAAGATCATGGAACAGATCCTCCTAGAGGCTCTGCTAAGGCACATGGAGGAGAGGGAGGTGATTTGAGACAGCCAGGATGGCTTCACCGAGGGCAAGTCCTGCCTGACCAGCCTTATGGCTATCTACAATGGAGAGACTACATCAGTGGACAAGGGAGGAGCAACGGATGTTGTTTATCTGGACTTCTGCAAGGCCTTTGACACAATTCCCCCCAACATCCTTCTCTCTAAATTGGAGAAATATAGATTTGATGCTTGGACTGTTCAGTGGCATTGGTTGGATGGTCACACCCAGAGAGTCAATGGCTTGATGTCCAGATGGAGACAGATGACAAGCGGTGTCCCTCAGGGATCCATGCTGGGACCAGTGCCATTCAATATCTTCATCAATGACACAGACAGTGGAATTGAGCGTACCCTTAACAAGTTTGCAGATGACACCAAGCTGAGTCATGTCGTTGACATGCCAGAGGGACAGGATGTCTCCAGAGTGACCTGCACAAGTTGGAGAAGTGGGCCTATGTGAACATCATGACATTCAGCAAGGCCAAGTGCAAGGTCCTGCACCTGGGTTGGGGCAATCCTCATTAATCAATATAGGCTGGGGGATGATGTGCTAGAGAGCAGACCCACAGAAAATGACTTGAGGGCACTAGTGGATGAAGAGCTGGACATGAGTGACCAATGCGTGCTTGCAGCCCAGTAGGCCAGTCGCATCCTGGGCTGCATCAAAAGAAGTGTGGCCAGCAGACGGAGAGAGATGCCACTCTGCTGTGGTGAGACCTCACCTGGAGTTCTGTGTCCAGCTCTGGACCCCTCAACACAAGAAGGATGTGGACTTGTTGGAGAGGGCCCAGAGCAGGGCCACAAAAATGATCAAAGGACTGGAGCACCTCTCCTACGAGGACAGGCTGAGGGAGTTGGGGTTGTTCAGCCTGGAGAAGAGGAGGCTCCAGGGAGACCTTAAGCAGCCTTCCAGTACTTGAAGGGGCCTACGGGAAATGTGGGGAGGGACTGTTCACAAAGGCATGTAACAACAGGATGAGGGGCAACTGTTTTAAAATAGAGCAGGGTAGATTTCGATTAGATGATAGAAAACAGTTCTTTACAGTGAGGGTGGTCAGACACTGGAACAGGTTGCCCAGAGAGGTGGTGGAGACTCCATCTCTGGAGACATTCAAAGTCAGGCTGGATGGGGCTCTGAGCAGCCTGATCTAGTTAAAGATGTCCTGGCTCACTGCAGGGGAGTTGGAGTAGATGACCTTTAAAGGTCCCTTCCAGCCCAACACATTCTAAGATTCTAACTGCACTCTCCTGTGGAGCGGGGACTTGCCCACATTTCACCCAAGGGCTGAGTTTTCCCCTCTGGCAATTCCACCCATTCCCAGACCTGCTCGGTGGCCAGTCCATGCAGCACTGCCTGGGGTGCCCCAGAGCTAAAGATTTTTGCCATAGGTTGGTCCTTCCTGGATCATGGATTTGATCATGTTTACCTCAGGAGGGTTCAGACTCCCAGGGAGGGGGCCAGTCAGGGTTTGGTTTGTGACTGACTTCATGGAACATCTTGTTCCCATTGGTCCCAGGGCTCAGCTCAGCCAATCCCATCTTGTACCACTAATTAAAAGTTTCTGCACAAGTCATTACATGGGTGGGCAGATTCTGAGGGCTTTGGCCATTACATTCTCTTGCCCTGTGAGTCTTCTCTTTAAGACCTGGGACATGTGTTTCTAAAGTGTCCAGTGGCCCTTTAACGAGTGGTCTCAGTCTGCCAGGGTCCACCAGAGCTGTAATTGGCACCTGGTTCCTCCCCTTCTCCTCCATCACTTGGTTGCAAGCTGCTTTTAGCACAGATGCAGCCAAATCAGAGAACCCTGCAGTTTTAGTAACAAGGGAGTTGAGGCCGCCAGCCCAATAGGCAGCTTGTGCACATAATAATTAATTATGACCACCCAGTGTAACTTTTCAAGTGAAGGAGATATGATGCTGAGAGGTTGTATGTTATTTTGTTCGATTCATTTTTAATAGCTGAAGCTCCCTTAAACATCTGTTTACAAATGGTGCTGTTATCTCACATCTCTTGTTCTTGATCAGCTTTATATATAAAACGGTTTCACTGAGATTTAAAGTTACAAGTGTCAGCTCTTATTTGGAGATGATAAATGTTTAACTGTTCCTTTTGTTTTCAGCATCCTTTCTGAAGAGAGGTGAGGTGTCCTTGCAAAGCAGGAGTGACATACTGATTTACATATTAAGTGCCTGTCCTGATTATTCACATAAATCTAAAGCATTAACCTTCATAAGTTTAGTTGGGGATCCTTCTGAAAGTATTTCTGCTGTAATTAGACTTCTGCATGTTACAAGGTAACTGAAGCCTCATGTCTTCTTTTGTTTTGGTTTATGTTTTATAGGCAGTGGAGATCAGTGATAAAACCTCTGAATACAACAGAATAAAGCAACTGTTTCTTCAGACTATGCAAAAGTACAGCATCCTTAAAATAGAGAGGATTCAGAATCCATCCCTCTGGAAAGTGTTTCAGTGGTTAGTATTTATTTCCTCATCTTTATGGGGAGGGAGTCTCCAAGCACTGGTGTCCTGGCCATCAGCTTCCTAGGAAAGAGAAGATCATAGAGTCCACCTGTGCTTTAACGTGACTGGTATTGCCTTATTGGGAGCAGTTTCAGGAGCAAAATTGTCTAAGGCCTTCCAGAGAATGTCGTGCACCTATGGGGAGGTTCCCTTCATGTGACTCCTTGGAAGAAGGGAGGAGAGGTACAAACAGAAAGACACAAGTGACGCAAAATTGAGGTGAGGACACCCAGAGTGGTGTGGAAGTGTATTGTCTCAGGGATTGAATAGTAACTGCCTGCTGCACACACGTTCCATCTGTTACAAGTTGGCAAGGGTGAAGGGTGCCTGGGTGTAGATTGTCTAGTCAGATTTATTTAAGGCTTTTTAAAGAGTTTTAGTACCCTTGCTGAATGAAGTTGGTATTCACTGAGAAAGAATCTTGCTGCTCTAATGTAAGGATCTCTGAGTTTCGGAGCTCCCTTCTGGTTTTCAACGTCTGCAAGAGTGATGCTGAGCTCCAGCCGAGCTAGATTACCCAACAGATCTGAGATGGTGCTAGTGACAGCAAATGACCACGTTCAAGTTAATTTGGTAGCAGATAATAAACTGTTGCATAAAGAGTTGTCTAGTTTAAAACAAAAGCACGGGCACTTAAGAGAAGACTGTTCAAGGACTGCAGAAGAGAAATGCTACTGAAATATGTACATTCACCTGTGACGTGAGTGAACTCAGGAAGTTATCAGCTAATGATTTCATAAAACCTTTTAATCCAGCAAAACTTTAGACACTCGAAAACACGTAATAGTACATACTTTTTATTCTCCTCCAACAAGATAATCAAGCTAATCAGGCAGATTAGAATTGCCACGTTCTCAGTGAACCGATTTCAGTCCACTGCTCTTTTCATTTATGCCGTTTACAGATTGCAAGGATTCTCCCCTCTCCCTTGCTCTATTTACTTTTTATTGAATCACTTCCTGAAGAATATTACTGTCTTGTCCACTTCAACATCTTCTGAAAGCCTGTGAGATGCCTGGATGCTGTGAAAAAGTGATGGGAGATACCAGCTGAGCCTTACGCTGCAATTCCTTTTCTGATACCGGTCATAGCTCAGTTTGACTCTGGCCTAAATCAGTAAGGTCTTCAGTGGTGAAAAAAGGCTCAGTTTCTTTTTTCTTTTTTTTAAACACCTTTCTCCCTTTTCTTCCATGGATTACACTCTCCTCCCTTGTATTTTTCCGTTAGGCAAAAGGAGCAGATGAAAAGGGAAAATGGAGGGAAGGAAGTAAGTGAAAAGCTCCTGTTCCACGGAACCAATATGTCCTACATGAAAGCCATCTGTGTTCATAACTTTGACTGGAGAATTTGTGGAAGCAATGGAACTAGCTATGGAAAGGGTACGTAGGAAGTGTCTCTGTGTTAGGCATCTACTTAGACTCCCCTGATACTAGAGCAATCAAAGTTTTGAAGTCTGTAACTGCAGAAAAAAAGAAGGTAAGAATTGGTATTATTATTTTCCTTTCCTCTGGAGAAGACAAGGATTTGCTTCATGCAAGGGTAAGTCTTTTCACAAGGTGTTAAGAGAATTAATGTAGGGTTTGAAAAAGCTGCTCTTGCTGCAGGTGGGATCTTTTGAAAGCTCCAGGTCATAATTTGAACTTGCCAGACAAATGGCCAGTCTTCATGGCAAGGAACAAGAAGGGGTATGCATTCCTTCAGTATGATGATGGAAAGTCCTCATAGTTTCTTATCTATCCCTCATCATAATACGCATATTTGTAGCGTTTTATATGTTTTGATTTTTAAAACATTATTTCCGCACTAGCATATTCTGAATGGAAATTCTGCAGTGAAATCCTTTGTCTTGTAAAAGTTTATATGGTATTTTGTAAACTGAGTAAGACAAGACCTGAAAGTTGGGTCAGATATCTCCTGGAAAACAAGGGGATGCTCATTTTTTGCTGTCATTTTATATACATTCCTTATAACCGTGTTTTTGTATCATTTTCTAGGAAGTTACTTCGCTAGAGATGCTTCCTATTCCCATGCATACTGTCAGTCGGGGACGAAAACAAACACCATGTTTGTGGCTCGCGTGTTGGTTGGAGATTATATTAAAGGCAATGCGGCCTATGTCCGCCCCCCGCCAAAGTCTAGTGACGGGCTTCGGTTTTACGACAGTTGTGTGGACAACGAGTTCAGCCCCTCCATTTTTGTGGTCTTTGAAAAATATCAGATTTACCCAGAGTATATCATAGAGTATAACGAGAAAGTGGAAAAATGTGTCATATCTTAGAGGGATCAGAGCTACTCGTATTCCTCATCTTACTTCCCGCATTGCAGGTGTTCTCACACCCGGTGCCTTCTTTCTTTTTAATACAATCCTTTAGCATGTTATTCCAAAGAATTTCTGTAGTGAGAAGGGCTGACAAAACAGATGTTGCATTTGTTGTGACTAATTGCCTTATCTTCTTCTCATCCTCTCTTAAATGAAGCATTGACATTTGGATAGCTGTAGCAGAAAAATCAGAATCCTGTGATGGGAAGTAGAATGTTACCACTTCTGTGGGCAAATAATTACAAGTGCATTTTCTTAGAAATAGAGAGGAGTTTTCTTTATGAACAGTTCAATTAAGAGAAAAATTAACAGTATAGTAATTTTTAAGCAAACTTTCATGGTTTTAGTAGTCAAAGATTCTTTTCGGTGCAGAAAATGGCTCTTCTTGATCCTCGTGTCTCATCACAATTCTGAGTCAGTGTACCTAAGAACAACTTAGTTTTCAAAGTGCTGCTTGTTAATGCTGATACTAGTTTCAAGTTATAAAACAAACAATCAAAAGCTTATTTTAAATTCATGTTGTGAGTTCTCAAGTGGAGAAGTTTCACCTGTACAATGGTGGCTACTGTTTGGATCAGAAATTTGTCAGATTACATTCTTTTTGCAGATCCGCAGTAACTTGCTGTGTGACCTATGCAAAAATAGAGCTCAGCTGAAACTGTGAAAGTCACCACCTATGAATAAGCAGGTACTACAGTTTGGTGGTTTGGCTGCCACTAATGGCTGTAAGTATATAAAGGCTGTGTCACAATGAGCCAGGCTTTCACATGAGTGTGGCCATGTATTTTCTCAATGTGAACATTTGCTTAGCAAATGCTATAGGACAAGAGAAGCATCTTAAGCATTGTTATTTTTCTGTCCTATTTGCATACATTAATTTTCGTTTTTCCAGAAGTACGACACGACTAGAAGAGGCCAGTTGTGTTCCCTCGAGGCCAGCAGTAGATCTGCTGTCCTAAGACACTGCGTATACATGTTTCGTTGCCTACATTGCGTTAGGCAACTTGCTGAGAACTCACTGACAAGTGTAGTTCCTCTTCGTGTTTTGAGGTTGCTCTGAGTGATCCTGGATACTGCTTCCCCTGGTCTGGTGTTTGATACACGTGCTTTGTCTTCTTCAGTGCTGTGCAACCCTTCTAACAGTGGTTAAGCCCTTTTTTAAACTCATTTTCATGCTTTTTATTGTCCCCTAAAGAAAATACAGAAACTCTGAGTTTCTACTGAATTTAAATATAAATTTTTTAAGTTAACTGAACTGAAGACCCTCTGTACAAAGATGTCTTATTCAGGCAGTCTAGCTGTTAAGAGAGAAGCTGTTGCCGAGGTCAGAGGAGCAGGAATTTTTGCTTTCGAATTAGCTTTACAGTAACATGAGTAGCCTCCAAGTTATTTGCATCTTCAGTGCAAATCTGACAACCACATGTACCGCTCAAAGTCTGCAAGTTGCCAAGAGGATGGAGAAATGTATAAAATAAGGAAATCTTATTAAAACTACTGTCTTAGAACTAAATCATGCATCAGCAGTGCATTAGAAGGAAGATTCTGCCACTTCTTAATCTCTCTCGCTTTTATTTGCCTGTAGAGTTCCTGAATCAAGTTTTGCCATGTTTGCCAATAAAAGACATCGTCACTCACTTTTTGCTTGTTAGTGTGCAGTTTGTTGCCGTACATAAACTTATGGCACAACTAAAGAGACCTAGTGAACTAGCATGAACTCAGTGCATGTGCAATGCACGTGCTCAATGTCTTCCTTTCGTTTGTATTTTTAAACTAGGGAACTGCATGGACGTAGTTTTGCATTTTAGTGCAGATGTTTAGCCAAGTATGAAGGATAGAATACAGCCTTATTCACAGAGAGTATTTTCGTAAATGAACTTCCTAACTGAGGTATCCTCAAGTACTGTGGTAGTTTGGTTGGATTGCATGTGATGAAATAGATTCTCTAAGCAGTTGTTAAAATCCTGAAAAAAGGGTAAAGAGTAAGGTGAAGTAGTAGCAGAACTACTGGTTTTAATATGTAGAAGTAGTCAGGTACTGACTTACTCTAAGGATGTACTGTTTTGAATACCTATAGATGAGTAACTAAAGAATCTGAACTGAGCACTTACTGCATGTCCTTCCCCCCATCCCTACAAGCGACGAGACAGGCAAGCGTACAGAGAGTGCCAGCGAGATGCTGACAACTTAAAATCAGTCCAGGTCACAAAATCTAGAGGAAGGACAGGAATCTGAAATCTAGGAAGAAAGGGGAACTCCAGTGCTTTGCTTCGTGATGTCAAAACTGCACTTCCATGGGTCTGGCAAGAAATGCTGCCAGGCAGGGGCGTACAACTCCCTTGTGCACAGGATAGTTAGTTGGTGGTGGCGTTGGACTGTAGGTCAGAGCTGCTCTAGGGGGAAGGAAGACAGACAAGAACCTCAATCTAGGTAACTGAGCTAAAGAGGGAATAAAAGTTAGGGAAAAAAACCACAAACCCATACACTGAATGCAGGAGGATGGAGCATAAAGGCAACCACTGAGTCTCCCACCTACTCGCACCTCAGCGTCTTCCTAGCTGGCCCCAAGAAAAATACCTTGCAGGAGAAATGCCTCACCTGTCACAGGCTGACAGATGGTGATCCTTTGCCCTTTGAGCTTGGCAAAAAGTGTAGTGGGTGAGAGGAGAAGAGCACGGCCTCGTGTGGCAGCTGTGTAGCCTCTGGGCCTGAATTACACTTCGAGTTGATGCGACAAGGCAGTTTCAAGATAGGACCAAATTAAAGCGTACTTTCATGAGAACCAACAGAATTTTAGAAGTAATTCTTTTTCATTCTTAGTGGATCTGAGCAGAAATAGTATTTGGGTGGGGTTCTTTTTCTGGCAATCCTAGCACTGCCTATTGAGACTGCCCCTCATGGGCCATGTTTATGTGTGAAATGGCCTATGTGTGATAACAGCACTTTGATTTGCCACTGCTGATGCTTTTCTTGGATTTCTGGATTGGCTAAAAGCAGGTTCTTGATGACCTTGGTGTCTCTAGCCCTACATTATAATCTGATTAATGGCTTTCAGAATTCAACAGGTGCAGAACAGCCCTGTTCAGAAAAGGCTAAAAATTCATTTGCTAAGGGCACATTCTGAAGAAGGTGAAGTTATTGGATTAGGCATGGCATTACAGGGCTATTTATGGGCACAGATACTTCTGGGGGCCTTTGGTTTTGTTCCTGTCTTTGAGGGAGTAGTTACTGCTCATGTTTCAAGATGCAGGAAGAGTTGGAAGAATAGCAGCACAGATTGCGTATGAGCAGCATCACTGTAAATTTTTTATGTAAAAACAAACAAACAAAAATCTTAGCAAGTTTGTTGTATTTTCACTTCTGAAGATGATTTTTTTCCCCCAGTCTACCCCTCTGAGCTGGGATGCCAACCAGCCACTTTGCTTACAGTGAAGGGTGGGCCAGGTGCAATCCCAGCAGTCAGCTCGTCAGCAGCTCTCTTGGTCATGTCTCCTCCCTCCACCCTGCCCCAAAACCTTCAAGTATTAAAACAGAGACGGTTTTGAGGTATCTGTGAAATGGAATGGTGTGAGCACAGTTTCTCATCCCCTGCAAGGCTCCAGGGATTTGTTTTGCTTCTTGCATGCTCAAGCATCTACCAAAAAATACGATATATTGGCAACAGCTCTGAAGAAGTGAAAGCTGTGAACATGCAGCCCTCTGGTACAGCTGCTCTTTGGGTTCTGACATCTCCAAGACAAGGCAGCTGCTGAGTGGGAGTGTGCAAGACAAATGCAATGCCATTTTTCAGGAAAAAGACTCAATGCCTTGGAACAAGCCCATTCACCGGGGGCTGTGAGACTGTGTGGTGACTGTACACAGGTAGGCACGATATACTCTCTATAAAGCCCTTGATCAGTAGCTATGCACACAAAGTTAAAGAAGCTATTGCTTGTAGAGGTTCCTGCAGTTGACTGATGCCTTTGTCTTTTTGAAAGATTGATATGCATATCTTTATCAGGAAAGTATAGGTTGAAAATTTGTTTAAAAAGGCATGCTTTGCTCTGGCTTAATATATCTGGTGTTGATTAGCAAACAAAAAAGACTCAAAGCCAGTGTACCTGCTATGTTTGTTTGTGATGACACCACTCATGCTGTGATCTGCTTTCTTCACCATCACAACCTCGATGCTGTAGTTAGCATCACGGTAGCTTTTAGCACAGCTTAACAGCACTAACAATCTAAATCTAATCTAAATCAGACAGGTGTTTAATAATTTTTTAATGGGTACTAAAAACTAGACCTACCGTAGCAAAGACTTTCCTTTAGAAAAGAAAGAAACCTTTTGTTCAGCTTGCTTGATGTTCACAGAATTGTTAGAAATACTACAGTACCAGGTCTGACAGTAGTGGAGTCCAACAGTACATCGCTAGCTCCCTGCTTTAGTGCACGGAGCTCCCAGAAACAGCCAACACTGACTAAAATGTAGAGGTAACTGAGCTGATGGTGTACGTGGTCATAGCATAGATAATTAAGAAATCAGTTCAGAAAAGGTTTGTAAAGTGAGGATATTGCCGTTGCAGCCACTCTGGAGTTCATGAAAATGCCATCAAAGTTCAAAGGAGGTGTTTCCTGATGTAATGCTGACAGAGGAGTTATTGTCCAGGCTCAAATTCTGATGCACAGCACAAAGGACTATTACCTCTGCCCCTCTTAATCCAGAAAAACAAGTGCTATGGAGGCCGGGAGGGATGGTCTGCTAAATTTACCAGCTCTGGCAAAGATAGAACAGAAGCAAAGGTGGGGATGTGCAAAACTAGTACCTTTTTCTGTGCACAGCAGATGCTCATAAAGTTTTTGTCAATTGCTTTTCAACTGCTTTGCTTAAATATAAAGATGTGAGCTTTTACAAGTCGGCTTGGTTCTTCAAGGACCAAGTTCTTGGCCAAGTTCTTCCTCTCCTTTTGTTTTTCACCCTTGTT